TCACTCACTCACTCACTCAATCAATCAATCAATCAACAACAAAAAAAAAGAAGCAAAATCGAATGAATCTTCCGCTAGAACATGGAAATATACAATGTTGTGTGCGTGTGTGTGGGCCTGTTTGGGATGGCGGGGCGACCCCGCCCACACCAATCAATCAATCAATCAATCAATCAATCAACGGAAAAAAAAAAGCGCTGTTTTTTTTTTGTTTTTTTTTTGCTTGAGGGGGTGGGGCTGGGGTTGCACTGCCCCATGGCGCTTCCCGAATCCCCAATCCCCCTCCCCACTGGCCGCCATGCGTCCGTGAAGTCGCGGGGCCGCGCGAATGCGACCGAGGGGTCGGCGGATTGGCCTCGTCCGCGGATTTTGCCGCGCTCGGCCGCCGCCGAGGGGGATTCATAGACGAATGCGGCCTGGATTTCGACCGGGATATGTCCAAACTCCACCCAAAAAAACTCTTGCATTAATTGCACTCTCCTCTCCTCCGGCCCCAATTTTCGCTGCGGCATCCAGAGGTGAATCCGGACCTCCGACTGTTCGCAGCGAAGCCGTTTCCACCCATCAATCACACATTTGTCTGATTCGTGTAGGCACATAACTGTGAACAGAGTGTTGGACACTGGTTGGATCAGAAATTGGTCACGTGCCAGTTCCGCACTGTTCTTCAATGTCTCTAGACAAAGACAGATCCATTTCACTTTCTCATTAGTCGATTTATACGCGGCGTCATCATAAAACACCCAATTGTTTGCGTGTTTCATGTAGACTTCATCCTGGCAAGCTAACCCACTTTTGGGGTATGCCTTTACCATAACCTGTTTACCCCCGTGCGTCACCACCCTTGTTTCAGACGAGAGTAAAAATTTTGACATGAAAAAAGCTCGTGCAGTCGGTAACCCGTCCAACGGGATCTCGAGGTTCCCAGTCCGCGGGCTGCCTTGTCCCCAGGGGATGGTCAAGGCCAGCCGCCGGCGTGGATCTCTCAATTTGTCTGCCCAGGTGGACTGCGGCTGGTCACCGCTCGACCCCGGGGTGGGAGTGGGGATTCCTTCTTTATTCTGCATTTTCCCACGTAACTCCAACTCTCTCTCTTCTTCCGTAAGGATCCCTGTGTCGTCTGTCTGTTGTACTTCCTTACTCAGATCTATCCCTTTCAGAAGTGGTTTTGTGTGATTATTTTGGTGATGCCAACGTTTTTATCGAAGATGTTCGTCTGCCAGTTGTCTCATGGCCCCGCTATAGAACAACATGGAATCTAATCGCTTGTGTGCCCGCTGCATTCTGTTCGGGGTCTTCATGATGCTGCACTTGTTTTTATTATTCTTTTTCTTTCGTTGTTTTCTAAGTTTCTTTTTTCTTTTCTGGAAATTGTTCATTCTCCGGGGGCTGTTTGTTCCCAGTGTCGACCCTGTTCTCTCCCTGCCCTGTCGCTCCCCCTGACTCTCCCGCTGACGCTTGCCCTTGGTCCTCCCACAGTCCCTTTCTCTTATCTGATCAGACGATCTTGCCTCACCCTGGTTTATTCCAGATCGTGTCTTTCGCCGTTCTTTGCCAATCCCCCACGTGTGATCTTCCGTTGCCAGGTCCCCCCGTCACACTCCCGGGCCCCCCGCAACGTGGTGTGGAATTCTTCCGTGATCCTATCCAAAAAATGTCTCCCTCCCCCTCGTGCTCACGCCCTCCTCCCCCATGTTTTTGCTCTTCCCTTCCCTCGTTCCGACTCTCCTTCAACCCCTTTCCTCAAATCCCTCTGCCTATCTTTCTAATCCGTTCTTTTCCTGCCGGATGTCATATACAACTCCCAACCCTCTCGTCCACCCTCCCCTTCTCTTCCTTATCCGCCACCGGTCTCTTCTCGATCCCGGCCCATCGTTTTTTTTTTTTTTTAATTTCTTTTTTTCTTTTTTGGAAATTATTAATTCTCCGGGGACTGTTTGTTCCCAGTGCCAACCCTGTTCTCTCCCTGCCCTACTGCTCCCCTTGACTCTCCCGCTGACGCGTGGCCGTGATCCTCCCACAGTCCCTGCCTCTTACCTGATCAGATGGTCTTGCCTCCACACGTCCCACGTGTGGTCTTCCGTTGCCGCCCCCCCCCCAACGTGGTGAAAAATTCTTCCATGATCTTGTCCAAAAAGCGTCTCCCTCCCCCTCGTGCCCACCCCCTCTTTCCCCGTGTTTTTGCCCTGCCCTTGCCTCGTTCCAACTCTCCTTCTCCCCCTTTCCTCAAATCCCTTTGCCAGTCTTTCTAAACCGTCCTTTTCCCGCCGGGTGTCGTATACAGCCGTCCTTGCCTCGCTCTCAACCCTCTCGTCCACCCTCCCCTTCTCTTCCTTGTCCGCCACTGGTCTCTTCTCAATCCCGGCCCGTCCCTCGTCCCTTCTGCACACGTGCACATGTTATCTCCCCTACCTTTTCCTCTCCGTTTTGGTTACCGATTTCTTCTTCCCTCCTTCCTCTTTTTTTAACTTTTCATCCCCATCCTCGCCTCCTTTTCGTTCTTTCTTTCTGCTGCCTTTACTCGCTTCTCACCCTTTTACTTCTTCTCGTTCCCGCTTTTTTCTTTCTTTGTCTCCCTGCCTTCTTCCCCTGCTGCCGACGATTCCTCAACGCCCCCTCCCAATGTCGCAATCCCGTCGGGGATGACAAGCTTCCAATACCCTGCCCCTTCCCGATGTGGCAATCGCGCCCCCCCTCTCTGTCCTCCCCCTCTTTTATCCTAACCCCGCCTATTGAATAGAGAAAACTTACCTTCAGCCAGTTGGCGATGCTGTCCACTGTCGCCGACGAAGCTCTTTGTCCATATCCGCTCCTCATCCGCCAAATTCGCCTGTCGATGTGTTCTTCCTTTGGTTCTCGCCCATGTCCCCACGCAGGTCTTCCATGCACGTGTGTAGTCCGCTCGCGGTTACCAAACTTACCACGTGCGACCCGCCTTAATCGGACCCCGTTCTCCCCCACCGAAAGTCATGGCAGGCTATCGCACACACACCTTCTACACTTCTATGGTGTGTCTTCGTCACTCACCATCGATGGCAATGTGTTCCACTACCTGCCTTCGCTCAACACGGCGCAGGCGAACAGGCTGCGCCAATACCCCGCATGTGCGCCTCGCAGCAGTCGGCGCTCTCGACGCGACACCTTCACATCAACAAAACGTAGTAACCCCTGACAACATTCTTGTACGTTGGGAACTCCAATCCACGAATCTCACAACTGCAAGGATATCTGACAATTATGTAGTTTATAGGCAACTCCATGCATATCCGGCTGCCATGTTAGTGTGCCGTTCGAAATCGTTTAACTTATGTTTATTTAGATATAATGCATAAGGGATTAGTTCAAAATTTGCTTAATACATCGTGTTAAATGCATTGAGCTTGTTTCTTACGATTCAACTATGACGGGCGGCTACACCGATGGCGGACTACAACGACAATACAATGGGTCGATTGGTCAGTGATGGCGCAGAGATGGAGACAGATGGAGACAGATGAAGAAAGGTGGCGTAGCGATGGAGATAGATGCAGAAAGATGGCACGACGATGGAGAGAGATTGCGCACCGATGGAGAGAGACGGCGCGCCAATCGAGAGAGCAGGCGCAACGATGGTTAGGGATGGCGCACAAATGCAGAGATCTAGTGCAGCGACGGTTAGCGATGGTGAACGATGGTTAGCGATGGCGAGCCAACGGAGAGATCTGGTGCAGCGATGGTTAGTGATGGCGCAACGATGAAGATAGATGTCGCAATAGCGCCGCATTTCTCACTATTGACCTAGAAAACATCATTTAAAGGCTAACTAATGTTTTACATATAATGCATCCGACATCAGTTCAAAATTAGCTTAATCAAAGTTATATTTGTCGTGTTAATCCTTCATTACACATACCTGACGCTTGTCTCGTGCGATTCCACAATGATGGGCGACTGCACCGACGGCGGACTACAAGGATAATATAATGGTGATGGACAGTGATCACGCAGCAATGGAGAGGGAATGCGCAGCGATGCAGAGAAATCCTGCAGCGATGGAGACGAGATCGAGCAGCAGCTATGGAGAGAGATGGCGCCACGATGGAGAGAGTCCGCGATGGAGAAAGATGGGGCGGAGATGGATAGGGAACGTGCAGCGATGGAGATAGATCACGTAAGAGCGATGGGTAGAGGTGGCGCAACGATGGAGAGAGATCGCGCAAGAGTGACGGAGAGAGATCGCGCAAACATGGAGAGAGTCCGTGATGGAGAAAGATGGCGCAGGATATGGCCCAACTATGCGATGGCCGCGCGATGATAGCGATGGCCAGCGTTGCGATGGCAGGGATAGCGATGGAGAGAGATGCCACGACAATGGAATGGATAACGATGGCCAGCGCTGCGATGGTACAGATAGCGATGGCGAGCGCTGCGATGGTGGCGATAGCAATAGCGATTGTCAGCGCTGCGATGGAGGATATACTTGTGCGCAGCGATGGTGATGAGCTAAGCGCATCGATGGCTGTGCCGATGGCGAGCGCGGGAATGGATGCGATTCCGTTCGCAAGCGCAGCGTTGGTTCAAAATGAAGAGATTGCGGATGTTCGCTATCCAACGCCGTTGACATTTGCAAAATGTCACAATGTCTGCCAGACCATATTTTGTCGGTTTCCTGTGCTGACCTTGGCACGTAACGAACCGCCGCACTGGGTTTTCGGGAGCGTTGGGAATTGTGCCTCGGTGCACAACGGACCGTCACACCTGGCGTCGGCGCGCAACGAACGGCTGCGCTGTGATTACTGCGCTTGACCTCAGGGGGGTAACGAAGCTCCACTTTGTACGTTGGATCATGATGATCGACGACCGAGACTACGACAACGAAAATGACCTAGACCGTCCCTTACGTTTTGGAAATGTCATATCAATGCACGCCGGAGTGGACAGAGAATTTAGGGTCTCTGACATGCAAGTGGCTTCGTTGATCTGCGTCATTGAATTTCGTAGATCGACGAGCAACAATTTACGGTACCTCTGACCTTTCGAGTTCCAACCTGTCCTTAACGTTTTATAGGCCCTTGCATCTTATAGGCGCTGACGTCCTATTGGCCCTGGCGTGCGATATGTGAACAACCGCCGAGTCGAAACGCCCTCTCCGCACCCTCCTTGGTCCCGACGTGAGGCCTGCTGTTGGAGAGTTCCTCTGGGCACAAAAGTATAAAAGGCGTTGCCTCCCTCGTTGTATCCCTTTTGTTGTCTGCCAGCTCAGCAGGTCAGTCGCTCTATCGCTACCGCGCTCGTGTTGATATCTTGTCTTCACCCACCACGTCCTTCAGCCATAGCCAGTTCGCTCTTCGTAGCACGACTTCCATTCGCCATAGCCGGTTCGCTTTTCGTAACTCGGTTTCCCTCTGCCATAGCTAGTTCGCTCGTCGTACGTCAATATCCGTCCGACGTTCGTCGTCCACACAACGTTGTACGAAGGTGAAATGCTATTTAAGTTGTCCTAACTGTGTCCGATGTTCGAACAGATTCCTAGATGCCCTGTCTGCGCCGCATGTTGAAGCCCGAATCAATTCCCGGTTTTGTTGTTTCGCAGCTCGAACGAGGTCAAGTCGAGCTATGTAGCTTCGAATCAATTCCCGGTTTTGTTGAAGCCCTGTCTGCGCCGCATGTTCAAGCCCGAATCAATTCCCAGTTTTGTTGTTTCGCAGCTCCACGGATCGACTATGGCGGACGGAGGTGGAGGGTGAAAAAAAAATCAAGTCCCGCTTCGCCACCGCCCGCGTTCTAATATGATTTTTTCTTCACCCTCCACCTCCGTCCGCCATAGCCGATCCGTGCTTCGTAGCTCGATTTCCTTTCCCCGAAGCTGAACCTGCGCGCTATAAAGCTGCCAGGATATTGTTTGTGTATATATATATACACATATATATATATACATATATATATATATACATATATATATAGCAGCAGACACTCGTCAGTGCCCTTGTTGAACGACGGACCAATTCCCGATTTTCGTTCACGTGTCCCTTATGAGGTCGCAGATCTGGGATATATATATATATATATATATATATATATATATATATATATATATATATACACGTATATATATGTATATATATATATGCACAGACACTCGCCCGTGCCGCTTCTACAAGGCCGAATTAATCCGTAGTTTTTATTCTTTCGGTGAGGTCGGAACTGATCCACAACTGCGAGTTAGTTCGCACTTTGCGACCCACAGTGTTGTAGGAGTTGTTGCCCTTCGTATCCACAACTCCAAGTCAGTTCGCACTTTGTCGACACCTAGTGGGATATGTTTTAAGGCTTCGTTTCCAAAATTTCGGAGTAGACGCCTCTTTCCTGAAAGTAGGTTCTTCATTTCCAGAAGATAAGACGCCTCTTTCTTGAAAGTACGCTCTTTCCTGAAAGTAGGCTCTTTATTTCCAGAACTGCGAGTCGTGGCCCTTTGTATCCGGAACTCCGAGTTTGTTCGCACTTTTCGACAAGCGTGTTGTACGTGTTTCAGGTCTTCATTTCGACAACTCCGAGGTAGTTCGCACTTTCTTCAAGATAAGCCACGTCTTGCTTGAACACGAGTTCATCGTTTTCGGAACGGCGATGTGAAATTTTTATTTTTTCTCCATAATTGCGAGTTAGTTCGCACCTACGTAGGACCATGTTCATGTTCGGAGGCGAACGCGACCAAGAGCCCAAAAACCTCCGAACGCGAACATAAAAAACAAAAACAAAAAAAGCTTCTCTGAAAATTCTGAAACAAAAATATGTTATGTAAAATAACAATACAAGCAACTTTTGCCTTGGAGTCATATTCAAATTTGTAGGCAATCATGAGTTAAAAATAAAAAATCGAAAATATATGTATGTTTTTTTACTGAAAAAAATTATGTTCGCCCGAACATGTTCGCGAGCTGTTCGCGCGAACACGCGCCGTGCTACGTAGGTTCGCACTTGTCGGTAACCATGCGGTACGTGTTGTAGAGGTCTTCATTTCCACAACTCCGAGCTAGTTCGCACTTTCACCAAGATAAGCCGCCTCTTTATTCATCTCCAGGATCGTGAGTTGTTTCTCACTCTGTCCCAGGAGTTGTTATCTTTCCTCCCAACTCACTCCGTCGCAGTAATATTGTCTTCGTTCCCACAACTCCGATTTAATTCGCACTTTGCAGTTGTACTTCTTAAGAAACCTTCTTTCTCCCGGTCCTCTGATTTAGTCTAGGCTTAGGCGTGTTGGTCTTAGGTCGGGAGTAAAATGACGTCTGCGAAGAACACATCGACAAGCGTTGGGCTGTCTGCCCCCAGGGAGGGACGACCTCTTCAGCAATCTACTCCTCAGTATTTCCATGCGAGGAATGCACAATGGTTTTTGGACTTCGTTGTTGAGGGGAACCTTGTTGGCCCAACGGTTTTCATGCGACCCGCTTGCTTTCCAGACGCTGAGAGAGCAGCCGACATTCATCCTCTCGGTAGCATCCTTTCGTTCCAGAAACAGTCTGGAGGCTTGCTCAAGCTGCACACTAACATCTTCTAGGATCAGTGCAGACTGCCTTACAAAGGTGTTCAGGGTGTGATAGTGCCGATAAAGAGTTTCGCGGTGTACGGCTCGAACATGCTACACTGCCGCCACTTCAAAGGGCTTTACGATGGCAAAAGCAGGCCTCTTCCACCACCAGTGGAATATCTCGATCTTGCGATGAAGGTGCCGAAAGAGCGTCCGATTCTTCCGTGAGAATATGTTTTCCGGCTTCTACCAGCCCATGAGGGGTCGTCCGGATTGGCTCAAGAAACCCCTGTGACGAAAGTGGGGCATGGGAGTGTGAGTCACGACACTGAGGGTCAAGGCGTGGGGTACACGCGCAGTATTCAGACGCAGGTCGGTCTGGATGCTCCTGGGAACACGTCTGGATTGCATTCAAGTTCTCCAGATGCAGGGACTCACCGGGTCGGTACTCCGAAAATCCTCAAGTTCGTCTGCCAGGGTGACACATATTCGCTTCGAGATGAGGCGAGAAGAGAATCTGGCAGTTCAGGCCAAGAGGTTGGAGGGAATGAGGTTAAAGGGATGGGCGCTGCGCGCGACAACTCTGGTGGGGATCCGACTTCTTTGGAGAAGAGGCGCGAGCGACAGAAGACGGTGCGCGAAGAGGTGGCGGAACAAACCCGACGCATGAAGAGGATAAAAGGATACTCGGAGCCGATGATTGGCGGGGATGAAGGTGACGTCGGAGAATGTGCCTCGGGAAAGAGGACGCCAGGGATGCGTGGCGGACAAGAACAAGGAGTCAAAAAAAGGCATTCGAAGCAAGAGGGTGCAACAATAAGTAAGAAAGCGAAGAGGCCCGGCGGTTTGACCATCCGCGAAGGATAAGCTATGGGTGAAGGAGATTCGGCGTTTATGCATTGCCTCCGCGAGAGAACCTTCAGAGAAATCTAAAAGAAAACTGGCAGCTGAAGAAGACGATGGCCAGAAGAAACCTTGGAGGAGGAAGACTGCTGAGGGAACGAGCGGTGGTGAAAGGGCGGTCGCCGGTCGGTAGGCAGTACGACGAAGGGACATCATTTTGGCTCGAATACGAGTGGAACGATGACGGTGAGATCGTGGAGAAGGAGCTCCCCATTCAACTGCTCATCGACCCCAGGAAGGTCTGCGACATCTCGCCGTGGGAAAGATATTACAATGACCGAAGTCTCACTCAGGATGGTGTGGAGGACATCAAGGGTGCGATGCTAAGGCAGTTCCACGAGGAAAAGGGGAAGATCTGGACGAAAAACCCTTTCAAATTGGTTCTGGCACCCATCTACAAGCCGGTGACGCATAAGCCGAAGAGAGCTCAGAGGCTTCACAAGGATGTCTTCAAGCCAGAGGACAAGGATAAGTATTTCTATTACCATGTTAATGGACAACACACCGTGGCTGTTGTGAAGGAGTTGGCCGGTGAGCCAATATTCGAATTGTGGAAAATGCACTCGTGGCCGGCGAAAGTCGTGTGGTTCTCCGACGAAGACTTTGGGGGGTATTTGCAGGCCAGTCTGACGGAGAACACAAGGCACAAGATGTCTAAGCAGGGTGCGCAAAAGGCCGCTTTCGAGGACATGCGGGAGACATGGGAGAATCAAGGAAGCACGGTGGCCATTCAAGGGAACCCTTCCGGTAAGGAGGACGAAAAACAAACGTTTTTCGACTTTCAAAAACTGCTTTTGGGAAAGAGTCTGAACGACGCTCACTGGACGATGGCACGTAAAGCGACAACGCTCGTCAACAAGGATCACGTCGCTGCCATTGGTAATGCATTGAGGCAATGGATGCCGCTCGTGATGACAGGTGATGAGGTTTTCCGCAAAGGCATGGAGTTCTACGATAAATGGGCCGAGGATAAGTTGTTGGGCGGAGACTGGAAAACGCCCTTGTCGAACCCGGGCAAATACATGCCAGACAAATCTTCGAGTCTTCAAGCGATTCCGGAAATGGGCGCGAAAGGGGCGGCTGGTGAAACGAAGATGGGATGGCTGGTCCGGGTCCCGCCGCCGCCGATCAAAAGGAAAACGCAATCGGACGACAAGTTTGTCGTCGTCGTGAAGTTGCCAGACATGTTCTGTTGGCAGTCTCTCGCTGATATGACCAATGCCGAAAAATTGTCGATCCTCGACGACATTCTTGCGCTGAGGGGATTGCTCGTGCAATCGGCGGGCGGACATCTAAAACATCAACATAAGCCTGGAATTAAAGATATGGTCGTGACGAGGAAAGTGGACCGCATGATGCTCCGCATGTTTCACTGCATCGTGTTCCTTGAATCCGAGGAGGACGCAGAGGTTTGGCGGTATGGGAGCCAGTTTTTTCGGACCGAGGAGCAGCTTCTGGCGGAGTTCGCGCCGCGAAGCCTCAGAAAACAGGTGTGGGTCGAACTGCAGAAGCATTTCCAGGGCGAGGTGGAGTACGTGAACACTTGCAAACATTGTCTTCCGTAGGAGAAGGAGTCCCTCGACGAAACGAAGAAAACGTACGATGATGACAGGTTCCTTAAATCTTTCGAGAAGTCCATCCGCTCCATCTTGCGACGAACGAAGGAAGAAGTCCAAGACACGATCAGGGTTAGCGGGGATGTGAGGCACATCAAATGGCACAAGATCAACCAGGTTACCAGCCTTTTTCCTTTTGTCTGTCCAGCTTCCCAGGCTCACACTCGTCTCACAGAGATCTGCGAGATTGTGCGACATTACGTATGCAACTTGTACGTCCTCGATTTGTGTGATCCCACACTCCTCTCAGATTGGCAAGAAGAAGATTTCGCCTCTTTGCAACGCGTTCTCCACACCCTATCGCCAAGGCACTGGCACTTGTCGTCTTCTTCCCCTCTCGTTGGGAGCTCAGTTTCTTGAAAGGCATGGCCAAGCTTAGCGTTCATCACGTCAGGACAGGGAAGTGGGTGCGCCATGCACAAAGGAAGACCACTATTCGGGAAGGCAATATGATGGTCGAGGAGTACGATGGTTGTACGTGGTTTGCAATGATAAGAACCTGGCAGACAACTTGAACACGGTCGCAGTCTTCCGGCCAGTAGTCCGTCGAAGCCTCCCCGTGCTAATGCTCCAAGTCCGGCCAAACCCGCGGTGGCGGTCCGCTCGAAAGTTGCCTGTTCATCCGACCCATCAGGACAAGCTGTAGCCTGTTTCGACGTGGCAGACGAGGACAAGTTCCCTTGTAGTCAGTGGGAGGACGGCGGCGTGACGAGTGTTCGAGGAGCTACTTATGGGGACAGGGAGCGCGACCCTGCTTATCTAATTGGTCTGCTCGAGAACTTTTGCAGAGTTGGGCAAACAGTTTTTTTTTTCGGGAAGGCGCATGTGTCTGTCGTATGAGAGCTCCTGCGCAGCGGTCGGAACGCCGTTGCGTTAGAGGATGAGGCGAGGATGATCAATTACCTTTACGAGTTCGTTAAGACACGCGTGGGGGACCCTCGCTACCATTGCTCTTTTGTACAGACCACCGGTGAACGGAACTGGGATCCCAAACGTGATATGTATTAGAAATTACCGGAGAAGAAAAGGATGGAGGTTTGGGAGTTCCTTTTCCAGCTAGGACCACCTGCTCAGACCGACCTGGAATACAACCGACGGAGGAACCTGGTGTTCGGTGTGCTGAATGGTTACCACGGTGCACCCAGGGAGTTTGTCTTAAATTTCATGAAAAGGATGGAACACGTTTTCTTCTTGATGGCCGAACCGCTGACCCTCGAAAACTACAAGGCGCAGTTCGACGAGGAGGATCCTTTCGACGCTGAAGACATGGAGGAGATGAGCGACTCCGAAGCCTTCGATTTCGAGTTCATGCTACTTCCTAGGGTGGTTGCACAGGTTGATGATGAAGGGGAAGGTGTTCATCGGAGATATAGCACGTCCGCTGCCGGTTTGCAGCGTGTGTTTGAGCGCGAAACAGTTGAGGACCAATCGTCTGATGACGGGGAAGAGAATAGAGACTATGAGTACGAACCTGGTCACGAGCTCCCTAGGGACCATGATACCTGGGAGAATGACAAACTCTTCTTCTACGGGAAGCACCACCGGTTCACGCCAGAGGATGTCTGGGACCACAACGTCGTCTGGCACCCCAGGAAATTCCAACCTGCTGTAAAGACTAGAAAGTGGGTCATGGCAATGAAGGAAGCCGATGGCAAGTGGAGTGGCCTGAACAGACTGGGACCGGGTCCATTTAAGAAAAAGGCGAGAGAAGCTCTGGTGGAGCATTTGAGTGTGATGAACCCCAATAGGAGCCTGCCGGATGTGAATGCGTATGCAGACCAAAAGCTCGATGAGTTGTACGACAACAAAATGTTGGAGTTTCGAGCGCCTTTCTACACACTCGAAATGGCACCGTCTCGTGGCATTGACTGACGCATGCCGCAACCTCCGTCGGGTGGTCAGCATCCGGGAGGCGGTGGGCGAGGTGATGGAGAAGACGGCGCAGGACCCGGTGGAGGAGGTGACGGAGGAGACGGCTCAGGATCTGGTGGTGACGAAACAAAGGGGAAGGGCCCAGACGAAACGTCGTTGGAACCAAAGGGCTCCGGCGGAAAACGGTCCGTCGAAAAAGGGTCCGGCGGAAAGGGGTCGGGCAGAAAGGGGTCGAGCGGAAAGGGGTCCGACGGGAAGGGGCCGGGTGAAAAGGGGCCGGGCGGAAAGCGTAGAGCGTTCGGGAGTCACGAGTCTATCGGAACTGAAAGCCGCTGCGAAAGGAGTCGAGATTCGGACATGCGAGACGAGGCGGCCCTGAGGTCTTATCAAGTGCTACATTCGCACTTGTCTGCAAGGACTTTGTTTCGTGACGACGGGGAGCGCAAAGTGCTGGAGGGGCCCGCTGCAGGAGTGTTGGAGACCGGGCCTAGCGAGTATGAACGTTATGCTTCGGAGGGTGCATCCATCGATTTTAAGAGCAAGAGTGCAGCGGATCCGGGGGAAGAGGAGCTGTCACAGGACGCGCATGCTGTGCACCGGGAAGAGGAGACTCAACACTGGCCGCCTCGCAGACTGCTGGATGATCTCGACGCAGGAGTGTTGGAGACCGGGGCTAGCGAGCATCTACGTCATCCTTCGGAGGGTGCGTCCGTCGACTTAGAGAGCAAGAGTACACCACCTCCGGGGGAAGGGGAGCTCTCACAGGAAGCGCATGCTAAGCAGCTGGAATAGGAAACTCAACATTGGCGGCCTCACAAAGTGCAGGAGTGTTTGAGACTGGTGCTAGCGAGCATCAGTGTCATGCTTCGGAGGGGGCGTCCGTCGATGTTGAGAGCAAGAGTGCAGCAACTTTGGGGGAAGACGACCTCTCACAGGAAGTGCATGATGTGCAGCGGGATGTCGGGTCAGGCGGAGGTGAAAGCCAGTGCGAAGGGAGTCGAGATTCCAACACGCGAGACGAGGCCGCCCTGGGGTCTTATCAAGTGCGAATAGATTCGGACTTGTCTGCGAAAACTTTGTTTCATGACATTGAGGACAGTCATCGCCGCAGTATGCAGCACGCGTGTCCTGTTCAAGACGACACCTTGCTCTTGCACCTCTTGGAAGAGGGTGAACGTCTACAACGTGCGGCGACATCTGTTCAGGGGCCCGCTGTGGGAGTGTTGGAGACAGAGGCTAGCGAGTGCGACGGTCATACTTTCCAGGAAACGCATGTTGTGCAGCGGGATGAAGAGCTTCTCCAAGGCTCGTCGGGAAATGCCATCAACATCGGCGACACCGATTTGGTTTTGCACAGTGGGTCGCCACTGATGACGGAAGAGGGTGACATTAAGGGAGGTTAGTGGACGTTTGTGGAAGGCAAAGTCAGTGGGACGGAAGGATGTGCATGGACGTTTGGGGAAGCTTGGCTTCATGGCAATGAGGAGGGCGAAGAAAAACCCGTGGTGGAAACTCGGCTTCATGACGATGAGGAAGGCGAAGAACCCATGGGGGAGGCTCAACTTTTGGCGGTGAGGTGTCGGTTGGGCTTCATGACGATGAGGCAGGCAAAGAAACTGTGGGGGAAGCTCAACTTTGTGCCGCTGAGGTGTCGGCTCGGCTTCATGTCGGTGAGGTATCCGCTCGTCAGATGGGTTCGGAACGGACAGATCATGATTCTCTGTCCACCCGCTGCGGTGAAGAGCAAGGTGATCGAGCGTCTGCCCTCAGTCCTGGTCGGGAAATGGTGCTTCATGAAGCCACGGAGTTGGTTAGCGACTCAGCTACCATCGAGCTGGTTAGCGACTCAGTGGTGGTCGAGATGCAGAACATCGAATCCTCCGCGGACGTCGGCCCAGTGGCGCGACAGGACGCCGGTTCCCCTCGAAAGACTCCCGAGCACGGTAAGATTTGTGAACAGTAGCACTCGCGCATCTGTCGATGTTCAACTCTGTGGTCATCCACATTGAAATCATGGGCTCATGTGGCTATTACCACTTGTTAAACAAAAGTTTGTGGGTTGTGGGTTGTTTTCTATGTTCTACAGGTGTGAGGTTGTCAATGTCCCTGCCCATAAAGCCTTCACAAGCCATGCGCGGGAAATCGTTTTCAGGGAGGTCATTGGCCGCTTTACCGAAGAAGTCCTCGTCAACTGTAGGGTTGTTTAAAAGAGTCCAGATGCCTCGCCTTTCTGAGAGAGCTGTCAGGGTTCTGAAGGCTTGTGGAATAGATAAGGAGGAAGCTTTCCGGAAACATATGGCTGCGTCTATCGACGGCGTTACTGCTTTGTCTGATACGTCTAATGACGACGCCAGGCGGGGTACCGTCAAAGACCCGTGTCCTAAGTACATCGCCAAAGACATATTCAGCTGTTGTGCAATTATGTCATTGGGTGGAGCCCTCATTCAAACACGGAGTATATGGAGGGTGTCAGGGTCAGTGATGACAAAAGTCAAGTTTATTCCAGAAAATGTGGCGGTTACTTTGTTCACTGTTATTGCAACCACCACCATCAGATCATTTGTGATCTGATGGTTAGGACGCACTCAGCCGTGATTTTCGGTGGGAGGTCTCTGTTTTTTTTGTTTTTTTTTTTGCCTTTCTTCTGTTTTCTGAGCCCATAAATTCGTAATGAACCTATCAAGCCTCTGTCATTCAGTGTCACACTGGATCGACCACACTCCTATCCGGCTGCAAATAGGACCTTGCCCCTGCACACACATAATTGGGGCCTTGGGGGTTGAGGGATGTGGGGGCGGATGGCTTAGAGGGCTTCCGGGTAGGTTTGGGGACTGGTGTCGGGGGGTTGGTGAGTGGCGGGTGGCAGGTCGGTCGGTGTTGGTCTAATTCGGTAGTATAAGAGGTGCTTCAGGGGTTAGGGGAATGTTTTTTTTTTTTTTTGCCTAGGGCCACGTGTTTCGAACACCGCGCCGCATCAATTCCGTTTTTTCGAAAAGTGCAGGAGCGGCTCATTTTCGCGTTTAACAGGAATTCAACGGGATTTTTTTCAATTTCAACGGGATTCAACGGGAGTTTAATTCCCCCGTTCCCCGTTAAAAAAAACATACAGCCAGTGAGTACTGGCATTATAATTTGTCCTTCACTTTCTTCACCTTTTGGTAGTCCATGTCTACCCTCTCATTTTGTCTTAACTTCTTTGTTTACTCACGTTACTCACGTACGTCCTTGCTCTCGCATCAAACGTTGTGTCGTTCCGAAATATTTTCGCTCATACAACTCCTTTCATGCAAACAACTACCTCATAAAATACCCCTCTCGTTCAAAGTTGGTTTGTGTTTCCTATATTTGTTTCCAACTCTGTGGCGAGCCTCAAGAGGCTCGCTAGAGGACTTCGTCGGCTTTCACAAGAGTCGAGTCTCTTGGGAAAGTTGGGATAAGGTAAGGTATTGTTTTAGACATGTTCTGAACAGTGTCCTAGTTTAAACTACATCCTCCACAAAGAAGTCAAAATCGACGTACTTAACAACCATTTGCTCTAACCACTAAGCTACTAGAGACGTTTCTATTGTTGTATTTCCTTAGGGACCAATTCACTCTGCATAGATTGAGTGAACGCAAAAACCCTTGAACTTTCGACGATCATGTTTTTCACCTGATTTTTTGTTACTCATGTCAGCATTCTCACTTCTGATATCTCCAGCTGTTTTCACAAACAACCTTCTTCAACTTACAGAACAACCTTCAACGTGTTGATCTCCAATCTCTGTATTCCGATTGGAATGAAGAGGTTCTTACCACGGCGTTAACTTGACCTTATAATTTATGCCTTCACCGTTTTGAGCTCGTTTATTACCTCTAAGTTTCCATAGAGGAGAGAAGGTTACGTTTTCTCCAGCTCCAGAATGTGATGAGTCGACATCGCAATTGTGTTAATTGAAACCACAATAAATCGTTGACGACAACATATTGGAACAAGGTTATCCACCGCTTTTAATCATGTTTGCATTGGTTCATGCACAGATTTACGTGAAATAATTCCAAGAGCTTTGAATCCTAAGTCTCCAATTAAGTGGGAAACAGAACAGACTTAAAATATGTTCCTACGGGTTATCGGTTGAAGTCCGATAGTGAGCATACTCGCTTGGTGAAAATGGTAAACACGACAGACTAAAATACTTCGTTGGTTTGAGTGAGTCGAGACTACGGCGAATATAACTTGATAGGTCAAAGTGTCAGATTGTGAATTTGAAAACACGGGTTCAACTCCCGTTATTCGCGTCTTGCATCTGAATTCTGGCGAGCCTAACTTTCCTGGACGATCATCGCAAGACTCACCCTCCATTGGCAGTTTTCAGGAGGTAAGCGACATCATTTTAAAGCGGCGCTACGACACCAAGTTGACGGAGTATTTAGTACACTTTTCTAATTGTAGCCATACGGTTGACTGTTGGTTGACCTGTGCAGAACTTCAGGCCCCAACCCTCGATGTCCTCGCACGTTACGAAGGCAAACAACAAGGCAAGCTGACACATTCGGTTCCACGTCGTACTCGCGTCCAGGTTCCACCATCAGATCGTCAGCCTCACCCTCGACCCAACTTGACTTCATAAGGAGGGGGAGGGGTTACATGTTGAGCCTGCACACGGGCCCCATTTTGGTGGCCCGACGATGGGGATCCCCAGGCTCCAAGCCTTCAGACATGTACCCTGGAGGCCTATTGTTGGCCTTAGGGCCGCAGGTTTCGATTTGAGTCAGCATTCATTATTTATTTGTTGTCCTATTTTTGTCTGTTCAGGCATCGTTTCAAACTTGTAGTTCATTCGAATAAACTTTGGGTCTGTTCGGATAAAGGCCACGTTTTGAGCCTCTTTCAGTTTTCTCTTTTCGATGACCATGTTGCACATTATGACCTATGACATTTAGAACATTGTATTTATTCACAACTCGATACTTGTTTCATTTCCATTTGTGAGTGAGATTGTGATATTGGTTGCTTGTACTCTATATTTGATGTATGACTGAATGCATGCTCTGATGCCACTTCAAAAACTTTGAAAGAAGCGATTATGTTAGGTTCTGAACCTTGTATACCAGTAATGTGTAACTGTCCTTTGCTTGTTGTAAACAGTAACTGTACCTCCCCCCCCCCTCGCCCCCCTGCCCCCCTGCCCCCCTTCCCCCTCCCCTGCGAAATCAAAGCACCCTGCGCCACTCCAAAAAAACCACGTGCCTCCCCAGTTCACACCCTACCTCACAACATATCCAAACACCCCGCAACTCCTCTTGCGGGGTGTTCGGATACGTTGTGGGGTAGGGTGTGAACTGGGGAGGCACGTGGTTTTTTAAGGTGTAGCAGGGTGTTTTGATTTCGCTCTGCCGCCTTCGAATTTTTTTTTTTTTTTTTTTTTT